GTTGCCTAAAAGAAAAACACCTTATGGATAAAGACGTACATGTACTAAAAGTGAAGGGCTAGAAAAAAAATATTCCATACAAACAGAAATCAAAAAAGAGCTCGGAAAAAAAAATAATAAAATAAAATAAAATAAAATAAAAAAAGAGCTTGGGACCAGCAGTTAGCCTAATGGCTATGTCGCTGGACTCCCACGTAGTTGCTGGACTCCCACATAGTCGATCGCGGTTCGCATCCCGGACCCAGTGGCTTAGAACTCATGCTGGGTGCATGTGCATGCATGTCCAAGATCCCGAGAGGAGAATGGAGGAGAAGGGATTGCGTCGTGACCATCCCCCCTGGGGGGTGATTTCTTGCTTTCTGTAAATGTCTGGGGAGGCCCCGCCCCCTATAGCGAAAACCTCTCCAAAAAAAAAAAAAGAAAAAAAGACTAAGGCCTCGGTGCCTTTTTCATGCACATCCTTAGTCGGACACCCCCAAAGATTGCTCTCTGAGGAGTGACAACTGCTAGGAATCATCATGCATTTTTATCAAAAATGTGATACATGCAAGTACACGGGAGAGGGGATACTTGTTTCAATTATCACCTCATAAAGTTCTAACAATAGAGAACATAAATTCTATTTTGGGTTGGATTAAGTGTGGGTCTAGTGCAGTTCCACAATTGTTTGTTTGCTGTAGGTGGATCTTTATGGAATGCAGTTTCGGGAAAGTGGCTCCAGCAAGCAGAGATGATTATCAGCTGATGCAGGACAGCAGCCATCTTGTGATTACCGGGAATGATGCTGAGAAAAGAAAATCTCAAGTATAGATATTAGTTCTTATGGATCTTAATAAAGAATGATACCTATATAGTTTTATAGGGATCTAAAACTTAATTTAAGGAATCCTAATATATTTATCTATTTCACTTGGTGAGGGTGGGGGTGTCCTGGGCCAGTTTTGGCCTAATCCTATTTTAGGTAAAGAAAAGATTATCTTTAAGTTTATGTTAAATGTATCTTGAAGGGCCTTCCAAAGGTCAAGAAGATTTCTGCCTATATGTGACTTTATCACACTCTCTATTGTGACTGTCCGGAGTAAAGCATTGTAATTAACAGTAGGTGATCAGGGTCGAGGGGAGTGGTCAGGGGACTTTTGGGAAAATCTCATCACATACTCAAGAGAGCTATGTAATTTTTAGGGGGTCAGACGGGGTGGTCGATTTCCAGCCAGGCTACCACAGTTTTCTCGAGCAAATAGCAAGCAGCCTTGCTGACATGCTAATTCGACCTAAGTTTTATTCCTAGATCAGGGTGGCGGGGGGCAGGGGTACACAGCAGCGGCCTTGCCAATGTGCTGGCCCGACCTAAGAGGTAAAGGTCAAAAGCTCAAAACAGATCCTGGGGCCCTACCAGGTTGGACTCCTCCACATATAATCTACCAAGTTTGAATCAGAGGACGTAGAAAGCCTGAATAGACCTATAACAAGCCATGAGATTGAATCAGTAATAAATAACATCCCGACAAAGAAAAACCCAGGTCCTGATGGTTTCAATTCTAAATTCTGCAACACTTTTAAGTAAGAGGTATCCCCTGTCCTACTCTTTTTCTCTAAAGATCCAAAAGAAAGGAGACCTCCCACATTTATTTTATGAAGCATCCATCATCTTCATTCTCAAAGTAGATATAGAGATGACAAAAAAGAAAATGTACAGACCAAAACCTCTGATGAGTATAGATGCAAAAATTCTCAACAACATACTTGCAAATCATATCCAACAACATATAAAAAGGATTATTTATCGTGACCAGGTAGGCTATATTCCAGGGATACAAGTGTGGGTCAACATATACAAAATCATAAACATAATACAGGATATTAACAAAAAGAAAGATTAAAACCATATGATCACTTAAGTTGGTACAGAGAAAGTATTTGATAAAATACAACATACCTTCCTGATTAAGACCCTTATTTTGGTATAGAAGGGTCATTTCTCCACACAATAAAAATCATATATGAAAAACTGATAGCTAACATTATACTGAATGGGGAAAAGCTGAAAGATTTTCCACTAAAAACTTGTACTTGACAAGGATGCCCACTTTCTCCACTTCTTTTCAATATAATTCTGGAAGTCTTAGCCAATGCAATCAGAAAAGAGAATAATATAAAAGGCATTCAAATAAGCAAAGAAAAGTTGAAAATATCTATATTTGCAGATGACATAATAGTATACTTAGAAGACTCAAAGGTTTCCATGGAAAAGCTTCTCGAAGTAAAATATGAATAGAATAAAGTGGCAGATACAAAACCAACATCCAAAAATATATAGCGGTTCTATATACAAATAACAAGTTGAATGAGGTAGATCTGAAGAAAAGAATCCCTTTTACTATAGCTACAAAATGTATAAGATACCTAGGGATTAAACCTAAATAATGAAGACAAAGAGCTTTAGAAAGAAAACTATGACAATTTTATTTTTTTAGCATCTTTTTATTTTTTTAATATTTTTATTTCATTTTTATACTTTCAATCACATTATTTAGCTTACAAAGTGAATATTCCAATATGTGAACATTTCTCCCTAGTCCAGTTGATAAAACTATAAAATTATCTTCAACAGATAATATCACATTTCTTTGTCCCATTAAAAAAGATATTGAAAATGACACAAAAAAGTGGAAGGATATTCCATGTCTTTGGTTTTGAAGAATTAGTATAATCAAAATGGCAATTCTACCCAAATTAATCTATATATTTAACACAATTCCAATCAAAATGCCAGAGAAATTCTTCACAGGTCTACATAGAATTTGTCCAGAATCATAGAATAGCAAAGCATATCCTGAGCAAGAGTGGAGTGGGTGGCATCTCACTCCCTGACCCCAAAATATACAATAAAGTTGTGATAATCAAACAGGATGGTATTGACACAGAAACAGATGGGTGGACCAATGAAATAGAATAGAGACCCCAGAAATAAACCCCAAAACTTACAGCCAACTGATTTTTGACAAAGGATACCAGTCAATCCAGTGGTAAAAGGAAAACCTCTTTAGCAAATGGTGCTTAAAAAAAATAAAAACCAGTATCCATCTGCAAAAAGAAGAAACTGAATCCCTATCTTTCACCATTAACAAAAATCAATTCAATACGGATCAAATATCTGAACCTAAGACCTCAAACTATAAAACTACTGGTGGAAAAATCTGGGAAGTTCTGGGAGACATTGGGATAGGCAAATACTTCTTAAATAAGACTCCCAAAGCACAGCCAAACTCCCTAAAATAGACATGTGAGACTATATCAAATTAAAAAGTTTCTGCACAGCAAAGCATACAATAATTAGTGTGAACTGACAAACACAGAATGGGGGAATATTTTTGTAAACTATGCCTCAGATAAGGGACTGATAACCAAATACACAAGGATCTCAAGTGGCTTACTCGCCCTCCCCCCCAAAAAATGATTAACCAAATTAAAACATGGGAAAATGAGCTGAACAAAAATCTAAGGAAGACATACAAACAGCTAAAAAGCATATTAGGAAATGTTCAATATCCTTTATCATAAGGGAGATGCAATCAAAACCACAGAGATATCACTTTTTTTTCTTTGAGAGGTTTTTTGCCATGGGGCATGTGCACTCGCCAGACAGACAGAGACAGAGAGGCAGAAAGCGAGAAATCACCCCCCAGGGGGGATGGCCACGCACAATCCCTTCTCCTCCATTCTCCTCTTGGGATCTTGGGTATGCACGCACACATGCCCGGCATGAGTTTTAAGCTACCCGGTC